GGAGGAGAAGGGGTAGAAGGATTAGAAGGCACAGGAGGAGGAGCAGAGAGGAGGAGCAGGAGGAGGAGGGGTAGAAGGAGCAGGAGGAACAGGAGGAGGAGCAGCAGGAGGAGGAGGAGGAGCAGGAGGAGGAGCAGAAGGAGCAGGAGGAACAGGAGGAGGAGCAGAGAGGAGAAGGCAGGAACAGTGGGAGGAGGAGGATGAGGAGCAGGAGCAGGAGCAGGAGCAGGAGGAGGAGCAACGGGAAGAGGAGGAGGAGCAGGAGGAGGAGGAGCAGGAGGAGGAGCAGAAGGAGCAGGAGGAACAGGAGGAGGAGCAGAGAGGAGGAGGCAGGAACAGCAGGAGCAGGAACAGTGGGAGGAGGAGGATGAGGACCAGGAGCAGGAGCAGGAGCAGGAGGAGGAGCAGCAGGAGCAGGAGGAGGAGAAGGAGGAGGAGGGGTAGAAGGAGTAGAAGGAATAGGAGGAGGAGCAGAGAGGAGGAGGAGGCAGATGTTAGGGTCTGTAAACAAGTCAGGATGGCGCCTGGCATTTTGCCAGAGGGAGTGGTTTGTGAAGTAACGCCAGCGAGCCATTAAGTGTGGAGATTCCTTATTGGTTGACTGCTGTATCTAAGATAAGATGTGTGGAATGTATATATACCCCTCCTGTCCTACAATAAACGGCTCCCACTCCTGCTGTATCAATGTACACAAGTTGTTCGTCACCCCCGGTTATTTTGCTGCAGCCGGACTGTGGCAGGCAGGAACAGCAGGAGCAGGAACAGTGGGAGCAGGAGGAGCAGAAGGAGGAGCAGGAGGAGCAGAAGGAGGAGCAGGAGGAGGAGCAGAAGGAGGAGCAGAAGAAGAGCAGGAGGATGAGCAGGAGGAGGAGCCGAGGAGGAGGAGGAGTAGGAGGAGCAGGAGGAGGAGCAGGAGTAGTAGTAGGAGGAGTAGGAGGAGGAGGAGTAGGAGATGGAGGAAAGGAATAGGAGTAGGAGGAGGAGGAGGAGGAGGAAATGGAGGAGGAGTAATAGTAAGAGGAGGAGAAGCAGGAACAGCAGGAGCAGGAGAAGGAGGATGGGGAAGGAGCAGGAGGAGGAGCAGGAGGAGGAGGAGCAGGAGGAGGAGGAGGAGCAGAAACAGTGGGAGCAGGAGAAGGAGGATGGGGGAAGGAGCAGGGGGAGGAGGAGCAGGGGGAGGAGGAGCAGGAGTAGGAGGAGGAGGAGTAGGAGTAGGAGATGGAGGAGGAAGAGCAGGAGGAGCAGGAGGAGGAGCAGGAACAGCGGGAGCAGGAGAAGGAGCATGAGGGAAGGGGCAGGGGAAGGAGGAGCAGGAGCAGGAGGAGGGGCAGGAGGAGGAAGGGGAGGATGAGGAGCAGGAGGAGGGGCAGAAGGAGAAAGGGGAGAAGCGGGAGTAGGAGGAGGGGCAGGAGGAGGAATGGGAGGAGCAGGAGCAGGAGGAGGGGCAGGAGGAGGAAGGGTAGGAGAAGGAGCAGGAGAAGAAGGAGCAGGAGGAGGGGCAGG